AAAATTTGAAGGCCATGGGTCTTTCACGAAAGAAGTCACTTCTAGGAGTAATAAATCCTGAATCAAATCTACCCAACATTTTAAAATCAACTCTCTAAATGCAAATGCCCATAATATCTTATCCTAAGTAACCATGGTGTTAAGTGCATGGGTTCAAGGATTCATGTTTCAGGCTGTTTTTTTCCAATCAATAGTCGAAACTTTATAAAACTGTATGACAATTTATGTAATCCCCCTGGTGTTTACTAATGATCCATAGTATTGCTCACTTGTTCTCTCTATTGGTAGTCTGTAGCCACGAATGTGGAGGAGGCTGTCTCTACTGAGCCTGCCCGTGCAGGGAAACAGAACATGAATTTATACAGAAGTTTCAGAGATTAAACGCACTGTGAAGCCAATTCACTTAAGTTGTGCAGCAGTAACTACATCTGTTAACATCCTTCATTGCCTTCTCCTGGGAAAAGCTGAACTTAAACTGTGAAGTATGAGAAAAGGCCATTTCCTTCTGACTGACTGAAGGATAGTCATTGAGTTCCTGAAGGCAGAACGAGAGTAGAAAATTAGTACAGTGGAAGTATGGGGATTTCTCTCGTGTGTGGGTGTACCTGAAGAACTGAATCTGAATACACACACACACACACACACACACATAAAAATTCTAGCAGTTCTGTTGGGAGCTTCTCAGCACTGTCAACGAATCCATTTGTCAATCATTTCAGTCACACAATACAAATTCTCCTTTGAATGCAATAAGTAAGCCTGGATTAAAAAGAACTTTGTTTTATTTGGACAAAGGCACACAGTTTTTATTGGTAGATTAAAAGTATATTTTTTTACCTGCAATAGTAAGTATCTCAACATCTTAAACTGATATTATCACAAATAATATCACAAGTTGTCGATGTTCAAAACTAAAATGGATGTTTAGACATTTATAGTTTAATGATGCTTCAACTTTTTAAATGCGTAAAATGGATATTTAAAAAAATGACTCTGCATTACAATTACAACATTATTTTTAGAGGAAAATTCAGCTATCTCAATTTTTTTCAGAACAGAAAAATCACAACTATCCATAACCCTGGACAAGAACAGTATACCAAAAATCTAGAAATAAAAACAAAAGGGTTAAATTAACAAGGTAATGTACATCCGTGGCAGTACAAGGAGAAATGTTAGACAGACATTTACTACAGTAAGGTAACATACTTGAAGATCAAGACTTTTATATCCAATACAAATCAAAGTCCTTTATGTCTTGAATACCTTTACATAGTTCTAAAGAAATGCTTAATAACAGAAGTAGAAACGTTCCTTACGCAGTTATTGACACAAAAATGACTGATCAAACAGACCTGCAGTGAACTTTTAGCAGAGAACTTCCAAACTACATTAAGTAATAAGATTCAGAATTCATTTGTTTGATTTTTAGCTAAACTTTAGAAAATACTACAGAAGGTACTTTTACCTTAGAGTATTTTCTTACTTACACCTTCATTTCTTTTCGCTCCTTAGTCTCAGCAGATAGTGGTACCAGCACAAATTTCTTGTACTGTTTTCCATTTTTAAGCTTTGGCTTGCAATGCTTATTTCACCTACTACAATGGTTATGTTTCTTATTTAAAATACCAGATATTTATGATTATTAATACTGATGAGAATGGACTGACTCAGCTGACATCTTCATAAAGGAGTCTTTGAAGTCGAGAAATACTGATGCTCAGTCACAGGTTGATAGTTACCTACAGTTATAATGCATGTGTTTGCTTCCCAATAATTACCTCTCCATTTGGCTGCTAATACTGATTTATTTCAATTAAGCTGGAAATATCCACAAAGAACTTACAGCAGAAAACTATAAAATGGCTGAACACAGTGTATCTCTGCCCTCATAGCAAAGTTTTAAAAATAATGTGATCTTCAGTATCTCCATTGCGCTCTCTTACGGTAGGGAGTTTTCAAGGGGTAATGATACTAGGCAAGTTGAAAAGAGGTTTGCTGTAGATCGATGAGTTTTTTCAAAGGTACTAAACCCCCTACATCTTTTAGATTGCTTATGCCAATCATAAACCTTTCTACAGCTAATTCTCAGTACATCTGAATAAAAAAACGCACTAGATTATAATTCCTACTTTGGAGTCTTTGATATAGTTCTTGTTATCCTCTTTTCCCACTCTCCCCCTCCAATTCAGAGCCAATCTAAAGAAGAAATAATCTCTGAATGTGTCAATACAAATCTGGTAACTAACAAAGAAAGCTTTTTCTTTTAAGATACAAAACGTAGACTGCACTCTTCTTGTTAATATATACATCAAGTAACATCAAACTTAATCATAGCAATCTAATTACTTAAAAATGGAAAAAGGGCAGTCTTGGAATTCCTTGTAAAAATCATCAAAATTTATATATGGTTAATCTTCTACTGTAGGGAATAAATTCCACAAAAATTAATGCCTATTATCAATGGTAAAGTATTTCTGCACTATTTTAAGCTTTAGCTCTGGATGTAATATCTGTTTTCCATGCAAAAGTATGTGACCCTCATTTCCATGATCAAAACAGGTATTATGTACCATTCATTATTGAAGTAACTTGAAAAAAATTTCTGCCCTATTAGCTTTAGCCAATGGGGATACTTTTCTGTTTAAATTTCCTAGATGACTCAAGTTTACAAGAAACACAGATGCTAGATCCTCTGCAGTTTGGCCCAAATTATAAGTTTAGGAATTTTCAAGAGATTTACCCATAAGGTTAATATTGCATATTAATGTCCCCATCTAAAAAAGTGCTAGGAAATTAATTTAGCCTAGTTATGGCAATACTCAGATTCATAAAGGAAATACATAGCCTTCCCCAGTGACGTGGGCTCCCACGTGCCTAAGTAGTTTCTCTGCTTTAAAATCACACAATTAAGAACAACTGAGGTGTTAGACTGGAGAGCGAGTGGGCACGGGTGAGCATGTTGCTGCCAAGGTAATTCAACCCTTTCAAATCACCCAAGGAAAAAAATCTTACTCTACGTTTGAACTTGACTATAAGGATACCCTAATGAAGGAAAAACATAATGGCAAGTAACAACTAGATGATTATTAATATTCTACATAATACTTAAGTTTTTCCTCGAGACAGCTAAGTTTCTTCCCTAGAGCCTGATAACGTAAGTTACAATTAATTATTATTGAAATACTTTTTTCCAAAAAACTCTCCACATCTTAAGACATGTCAGCTGAAGTGTTGTGTTTCAAGATAAAATTTGTGGGAATTTTTAAGACCATGAAGAGTTTTACATTTGTATAGCAATACAGAACAACACTAATGTCCTGAGGTACTTTCTGTGCAAGTTCCCACAGTCCCTTTGTTCACATGTTCTAGCTGAAGCATTACTCTTTTCAAAGATTTGGAAACTTCCTTTGCCATTACCTCTTCAAGGTAGGGTATTGTAAGTGCTTCTGCCATGAGATAAATATTCCCATCAACTGGACATCTAGGTTAAAAAGGAAATTCTAATTTTGGAATTTCTGCTGCTAAGTTTCATTCAATACATATGCAAATCAAGAAGAGGAAATATGATGACAAGTAGTTCCTGTTCGTTTTCTCTGTTGTCATTATCCTTTGGGTCAAAAGGTATATGAAATACAGTTTATAAAACATCTCATGTAAAACTCTACTAGTATGTGTTCTGCGTTAATACCTGCACGTAGATGTTTTAATGTCTCACTTCCTTGATGATACTTCAGTGTTTGACACCCCATGCCTGAAATCTGTAAGTACATTTCCTATATAGTACACGTAGAAGAAAATCACATATTTTTCCAGTGAAAGTTTCATATTTATTAAGAATGTACACTCTTAAGGAAACTTATTTTTTATGACTTTAAATTTCTGACTTTATGAAACTGACAAATTAAGGGACTTGTTACTGCTTGAGTAATATTAAGAGCAATATTCAGTCGTGAATATCAATTCAGAAGGCCTATACAAAATCCTTACACCATTTAAACCACTATATTAAGGTTTTAAATGGTCTCCTATAGGATCTCTTCCACTGTGAAGGAAAATCTCAAGGATTCCTGGAATGTAAATGTCTTGCAAAATACTTTAAAGATCTGAAAATCTCCTCTTTATTAGAATATACAAATCTAGAATAAGCTAGTCTATATTCAAAAGTATCCAATGTGTTATATTAAATCCTGGATGTGACGTTTAAAAATCTCTTACTCATTGAATACAAATTATGGAAGCAACTGGAAAATCTTAGATGACGATCATCATTATTATCTTTAAGTTGCCTTTAAGGTAACAAAAACTAAATGCATGCCATTTTCCAACACTGACCTTCAAAATCATCAAGAAAAAAACCTACAAAATGATTTCATTTCTGGTCTTCTGACTCAAATGACTTATATATTTTAGTCAAATTAGGGATGAAATGTGTGCTGTATTTATATGAAATAAAATATATTTCAGTCTAACAAATATTTTAAGGAGAGAATTATTCACTGAAGTCTGTGGTTCTTATAAAAAGAAAATTTTGTGTACCATCAGGCTTTAAGAGAATCAGCATATCAACGTTAAGTGATTTGTAGCATCTAAACAGACACTTTTTAAATGCTTTGTTAGTTTAAAATCAAGGATAAAAGTTTTTTTTTTAAACCATTTGATATTTCAAAAGGGCATGAATCACTTACACTTCTCTTTTGTTTGTTATACATACAAATTTTGACCCAGCTTAAAAAATGAAAACATCAAAAAACTCCCATTGATTATGATCACTACAAATATTAAGACAGATTTTTAAATAAAAGTGTATTGCAAAAGTGTCTTTGCAAAAATGAAAGCTCCAGGCTTTGTTTGTATTCTCAACACACCAAAAAAACTTACTGTTTTATAGTAAACTTGCATTTCATTGCTAAAGCAAAAGCTTTAAGACAAACTACAGTGCACAACTTCAGTATGATTCTAAGAACTCATTAATGCTTATACTGCAGGTGATATATTGATTTTTTTTTTTTTTTAATAAAACTTCCCCTCCTGCCAGAATACTGCTATACAGGGGGAAAAAAAGCTACTCTCTACTATTATCAATCTTTCAGATACGGTAAAAAACCTCAACATACAAGAGATTTTAGAGCAAGTAATCAATCTGCAAAATGTTATACATCAGTAATAAGGCATCCACTTTACAGCTGCTTAAACAAAAAAAAAATAGTTCCCAAAATATATATTTTGGATCTGTGTAAACAAAGCTTATATCTATTGCTTCCACTCATTCAAAAAATATACACCCACCTAGACTGAAAGTGATCTTGGTGCTACGAATTTGAAACTACTGTAATTTATCCAGATGTAATCTGAGGATACAAAATCCAAATAAGTTTGAATTTAACATTCTGATATATGTCAAAATTGTTATTCTCCTTTGAAAAGAAAGCTAAAAATATACCCCAAAATTGATGCCATTTCACTGAACGAAGGAGAAAGTATTATGAAAATAAACATCCATCTGGTTTCCTAATAATAAATATAAAGACAGTTATTTTAACATACTGCAACACAGGAAGTATTACTATATTGACCGTAACATTCAATCAGTAGTTTTTAAAAATCTTTCCTCATTGAGGCTTGCTTGAACCTTCTACCTTGTCAGCTGTCCAACAACTTTTAACAGGGTTTTATTTTCTTGCTTCAACTGTTCATTTTCATCTTCTATATCGTCTAGGTCCTGCGAAAGGAAGATAAAAATCAAACATTTCTCAGAACATAAACAAACTCTCGATTAGCAGCTGCAGGAATTTAGCACTAATATTAGCTCTGATATCAAGAAGATACGGTGTATTGAAAGATGAGGAATTAGGGTTTCACAGTAGCTATCCTTAAATCTTCCAAAACCTGCATTTTTCCATCTGTTACCATAATTAGAAAACATTAATATTATATTCCCATGTATAAGCACCTTTAAGAAGAAACATATAATTAAAACCGGAGCCAGAGAAGGAATGAATGCAACAGGAAACCAAAATAGGATGGACGTGATTATTTTATTGGCATATGCCTAGAGTGTATTAGTCAGCTATTGCCTTCCCAGACTGTGCCTGTCTGCAACAATTATACTTGCATATACACATCACTACTTACTATGGCAATAAGGTTTGCTTTCTGCTCTAAATGAAATATCAAAAATTTCAGGAAAAGTCCTGCCCGCCCATTTTTTAATTTTCTATTAGGAAAAAATTAAAAGGCATATTGTACCTTCTATCTAAACTGCTAGTGAGTGCTTAAAATAGATTGCTTCTATCCCAAATGTCCTTCCCTCCTCCACCAATGACTGTATTTAAACAGTTTCCATTTCACTTCTTGACTTCCTACCAAATCTTTCCAAGTCTTCTAAGTGAAAAACAGTAAACTTGGCTGTTGCTATATGCAATACTTCAGTCAATATAATTTTACTGTATGAAGAACATGAAAGAAATAGAATGAGAAATAAAAACTGAATAAAATAAAGGAGCGACCCCAGGGAGACAACTTTAAGGAGGAAAACGGCAGGCAGGCAAAGGAGACAGACCAAGATTGTGATCAGAGATTTTAGCTGCCTTTGCATTGAAGTCTGCAAATCCCTACTGTTGCCATGCTAAATGAAATATAAAACAGTAGTAGGGAAAAGATGCTCTCCCCCGATCCTTTAATTTGTTAAGTGGTATTTGACATAAGGAGCCTATTTCTTTGTTTCTTTTAAGTGGGGTCATTCCAAAAGTACAGTTTAGAAACTTCAGAGACTTTTTAAATAATTTAAAAAGTCTCTTCAGTTTGCCAGTTAAAGCCCAGATGTGGTGATTTGGCAACTGGTGCCCAAATCATACTGCAATACCTTTGCAATTACTCTTTTGTTTTGGTAATGTGCAATAAAAAAATCACTAGTATAAACTCTTCTTTGCCTAACAGAAGTAATATTGCATAACAGTACAGATGGCTTCCAGGAACAGCATTTAACTGTTTTGAAAGTTACAGATACCAGCGGTTTAAACATCTAATCTTGCAAAAGTCATGATAAAACGAGTCACTGTAATTACACTTTACGATGTATTTGTGAGAAACATACTTTGTTTTCTCTCTTGTGCTGTTCAGGTCAACAGCGCATGCAATGGGAAATTATTAGACAGAAGGGACAACACTTTTCCAATAAAATGATAATTTTTCAGTTCTGTATACATAATACTGTGTTTGATCTTGCTGTTGACCTAGCCATCAGATGCTGATGACCTAATTAAAGCCTACTTAAAGGGCTTTTGTGCAAAAATATCTGAAATTTACTCAAAATAAAACACAAAGTTTGTGAAATGTTTACGCTGCAAGAATAACATTCCAAAGATTACTCCAAGTAAGAGTTTCTTGAATATGAGCCAGTAATAATAACCCACCGCATTTGAAATATCTATGGAAATAATGGGCCGATAGATGTAGGTGTTTTATGTCAGTCTGGAATTTAAAGATTCTTATTCAGAATTACAATAGTAACTTAATTTATATTTACTGGTAAAAAAGACACAATGGGAGGAAGCTTGGGCTTCACATACCAAAGGAACCAATGACTACGCAACTGACACTAATTAGCTTGTAAATGCTCACTAACAGACCCTCTCCAAACACACATCTAACTGTCACATCTCAGTGAGGTCTGATGTGACCAAGGGTAAACTAGTCGAAGTTGAACTTAGCCTACAAATCTTGAAACATACTGAGATGCCTTTCTCTTCAGACAGTTGAGGTTTTTATGAACCAATTGTCCCTTTCTTTTAGAAAAGGTGATAGACATAATTTAAGTGGCTAATCTACCGGAATGAAACAAAGCTAATTATGGCAGAAAGCCTTTTCTGGTTCTCAATATATACGCGACTCATGTTCTTTAAGTTTCTTTGTGATGTCCTGACTGATCTCAGTAAAATATATTCTCTTAAAGTAAAATATAATTTACTTGAAATGAGAAAAAATCTGCCAGGAAGTTTTCAGAATTCTTGGAAAAAGTGTTTTTCAAGCGCACAGAGAATGTGGAGCCTTTTATCCTTTTCATATAGTACCACATAGGAAAATATATGCTTACTCTGTTTAGTAAATCAATTTCTTCCTTCAGCTTCACTATCAGCTCCTCTTTGTCCTGCGTCATCTTCATTAATCTCACATTTTCTTGTCTCTCTTTCGCAAGTTCCTAAAAAAAGAACACATACTGAAGTCCCAAATACAGTAGATTGTTTCAAAAGAGACAGTTTCCAGTAGTTGGGTTGCTAACAAAAAATAAAACAAAACAAAAAAAACAAAAAAGCCACCTGTAATTACCTGTAATTCCTTTACTACAGGAAGTCAAGCGCACAGATACATTTCAAGGAACTAATGAGTCACATGTCTAGGACAATATTTTACCCACAGCAAACCTGTGTGATAATTTCCAGAGATAATGTTTTAATTAATTTCCAACTTAAGCATGAACACAAAATTGGATTGGGGCCCAAAAGAGAAATAAGCAAATTTAAAGTCTCAGCTTCCAAACCTGTTATATTGTATTTTTCTTTAGGAATTTTGTTTTAGATTGCGGGTAACAAGGAAATGAAAACTCGCTGTAAGATCTGCAGGCCTGAATGTGAGAAAAAAATGAAACATTTCACATGAGACATTTACACCTTAGGAATTCAACAAATCAGGGCTTAGGATACTGAAAAAATGCAACGAAATCATCCTCTGTTTTCTCTGCTATTGTCAATTAAATGATTTTGGAAGGAAGCTGATTTGGAAGAGATGATTACAGAGCATTTCACACAAATCAGGCTTCCCTAAGTCTTTTTAAAAAATAAAAAAAAAAAAAAAGGAATTTCTAAAGAACATGCTTCATTTTCATCCTTTCCAAAAATAAGGTCTATCCAAATTGTGTCACCTTAGCAACTCTCATCCATAAGGATTCAAACATATTTGGGAAGTTACATACAAAAATCCGTTTCAGAAGAAGAAAGAGAGGCTAGTAATAGATTACAGAGACGACATGTTTAGCAAAAACTACGTGAGGTGAAAAACTCGGCTTTAACATTATTACATTTTCCGAAAATTGCTTATACGAAAAATGTCTAAAATAACAAAAATTTATTTTAAAAATATGTCTGAGTTGCTTAAAACGTCAATGAACAATCAGATAACAAATTTTGTAACACTTCAGTACATTAAAATTGCCAGACAAGAAGTAGGTAAGTACACTTGCTTATTTTCTGAACAATCCATGAGCCAATCCTCCTCCTCCATCATCCCCTAAAAAGTTGTTTGCACAGTGTTGGTGCGTTAAGAGGCAAGTATAAGACAGACACAGAACACAGCTGGATCTAAGCATGTTACCTCTACCTCAACTTTTTCTTGCTTATACACCAAATCAAAACTAAACACTTAGGATGATTAAGAAATTCATATTCTTCTCAGTCAGTCTGAGTCTTTATACATTTTTGTAGTCAAAAGCATCTGCAGTTCAAGTACTTAGCACCACTTCTATATATTTTACTTAGAGCATTTCCCCACTGAACTCGAAAGACATTTTATTTCACAGGTATACTGCTTGGAATAAGTTGGTACTTACTCTTTCGAGTTCCTCAATCCTCTTTTCCAAAGCATTACTTGGTACAGAATTCCCAGAAGAATTTGCATCCCTGCTGTATCTGCTATATGTTGTCCTGTCTGTTCGGGAATATCTGTTTGCAACATCCTCTTCTGGTGCATTAGGTGTGCTACAAAAATAAAGAAACAAGCAAACAAACAAACAAAATGGATGTGGTAGGAACAACTACAGAGTGTTCTCCAAGGCAATCAGCAGGTAAGTCTAAACTGCAGAGCACTTATTTCAAGCTCTTGCCTTACTGAAAACTCACTGAATTCGCTGCCTCAGGGCCATGCACTAGACTCAAGATACAACCAATATCAGTATCATTTCCTTTTGACTGAATGTTGTAGCTTATAACTTTCCTAGAGCAACTTTTTATAGACTCTGCCTGCTTCATTCTCTATGAAACCCTTTCTTTTCTGGCCAGGGTAATTTGAGCAGCACATACGAATTCGCTGTAAAAAAGCTTTTGATCTTCTCTATCACTGAACCCCTATCAGAGAAGATAGCGACTCTTGCCTGAAAATAATGGAAATTAAGATGAATCAATCTTGGGGTTAAAGACATGACAGTTTTGAAGCCGTATCTGATCTGAGTTACTGCAACTACACAGATCCATTCACCTAGTTATATTACCAGCTCTGAAGAGTTAGTGTTTCTTATTCTAGATTCCAGCATGAAAGAAATCTTATTGGCTTTACACCCTCATGGGAGGTACTATCAGTGAAATACTCAGGAGACATATGACCTGAATCCTCAAACAAAATGTTTGGCAAGTTCTCATCCACAGACCAACTGGTTGTTTAGTGCATTATGAAAGTCCTCAGAAGAAGGTGGTAACCTGCTTTTTTGAACAGTGATTATGAAGTTTGCACTAAGAGCCGTAGGCATAAGAAAATGTTGATTTCTGCTTTCTGTAAGAACTTTAAAAAGCTACCTGAAGGTCACCTTGAAAAAGTTGCATTTCTATGTTGCAAGGAAAAGACCAAGATGATGAAACTCATCAACAGAACTTGAGTAAAGCCAGGCTACTAGCATTGTGGGAGAAAATAGCATAAAATATTTGGACTGATACTGCTCAAATTAAAAAAAAAAAAAAAAAAACTACTTATGCATCACTTCAGGATTAAGGAACATTCTTCTTGGATAAGGAAACCTGGGAAGAACATCAGATAAAAAAGCAGCAAAGAGCAGAAGCAATGAAGGAAAAGAAAAGGCTAAAACTTGCGCCCTCACATTCAGTGAAAGAACTACCTGCTCAGCAGTTCCAGTACTCCCATATTCAAATCAGGTGACTAATCCAAAGCTTATTAGGCATTAACGAAATAAAATGGAAAAGTGTGCATGTGGTGTGTGACACCATGATTCTTGTTGGAAAACGTCAAAGTGTTAGGTAGTTACTGAGAAAGCCCCTCCCTAATGAAAATATTGTAATATCATGGAGTTTTTTGAGGGGTCGGGAGGACCAGGGAATAGCCAAGTGGTCCATGAATCACATACAGAAATTGGCAGAATTGGCATGAATCACATACAGAATTTAGCAGAAACCAAATCAAAAGGATGATGTCAGTATATAGGTCTAACTCTAAAAACAGGGACCTATGAAGTTGCCAGCTAGAATCATTCACTGAAATGACAGAACGCTCTGTTAAATGCAAAGTAGCTTCCTGCATGATCCCCAAAGGCTGTCCTTCTAGTCTTCCTAAAGGCGGGAGGGTAGGAGAAGGGCTTCTGAAGACAGAAAAACTGTCTTCAGTGAACATTATCCTTGACATAAGACAAGTAGCTAAAAAACATCATCAATGTTGTTTAAAAGATAAATATCTTTTAGAAACATGAAAAGCTCTCAACATGTACATATTGTAATTACTGAAGGTAAATTTTAGATGAAGTTCATTACAAACATTATGCTCCACTCTTAAAAACAGAGAGGGAATAGTCAGGTTTAATTTATACGGTAAATAGGATTACAGAGTAATTCAGCAAATTCAGGTGGTCTCTAGTCCAATCATTTGCTCAAAGAAGGGTCAGCTGTGAGACCAGGTTGCTCAGAGAAAGCCCTTTATCTAGGCAAGTTGGGAAAAGCTTCAGGATGGAGACAGCATGACTTTTCAGGACAACCTGTTCCAATATTTGATTGCCTTATTTGGTGAAAAAGCTTTTCCTTTTATCAAATCAGAAACTCTCATTTCAATTTCTGCCCTTTGTGTCTTGTCCTCTCGCCGTACACAACTGTAAAGAGCCTGGCTCTGTCTTCTCGATAATCTCCTTGTACGTACTGGAAGTCTCTCGTAGGTCCCTCCAAGTCTTCTCATCTCCAGGCTAAACAAGCCTAGTTCCCACAGCCTCAGCCTCTCCTTTTACGCAATGGGTTCCAGCCCCTGCACCATCTTGGTGGCTCTCTGCTGAACTTGCTCCAGATCAATGTGCTTAACATAGGGGAGACCAAGACTGGAGGCAGTATTCTAGAGGCAGTCTAACAACGAGTAAAGGGGGACGAACACTTCCCTCAAATCTACCGTCTGCGCCCATATAGCTGAAGATACTGTTGATCATCTTTGCTGCTAGGTCACTGCTATGTCATGTTCAGCTTGCTGTCTACCATAACCCGCAGCTTCTTTTCAGCAGAGCTGCTCCTCAACCAGTCAGTCCCCAGCCTTGATCCTTGCTCAAGTACAGGACTTTGCATTGTCCTTGCAGAATTTCGTAATATTCCTGTCAGCCTGTTCCTCTAGCCTGACTAGGTCCACCTGAACGGCAGCCCTGCCTTCAAGTGTATTGACTGGTACCTCCAGTTTGGCGTCACCTGCAAACTTGTGAGAGTGCGCTGCATTACCTCCTGCAGATCACTGATAAAGATGTTAAACATGATAGGTTTGAGAGTAGACCCCTGTGGTACTACACTTTTTGCTGGCCATCAGGTACTGTTCCATGACCCTCTAAACCCAATCATCCCAACAGCTGACCCATCCAGCTGCCACCCACCTAGACCATAACGTCCTAACTTGGACACAAGAATATTGTGGGAGACAGCGTCAAAAACCTTGCTAAAGTCAAGGTAGGAGACATCCATTGCTCTCCCCTCATCCACAAATTCAATCATTTTGTCACAGAAGGCAACCAGGTTGGTCAGACATGATTCACTCTTGGTAAATCCACGCTGATTGTTCCCATTCACCACCTTCTCCCTGCACCCAGCACTACGTTCCAACAGGACCCTTTCTAAGATTTTATCAGGGACCAAAGTGAGGGCCTGTGGTCTGCAGTTCCCTAGGTTGACCTTTTGGCCTCTTCTGAAGATGGCTGCAATACTCTTCAGTCACTGGGGAGCAGCCTGCACAACACTTCTAAACCCCTCCTTTGTACCCTGTCCCTGCTTCCAGCTCCTGTATACTGCCTTTCTGCACTAGAGCGCCAGCTTCCTGATACAGCTTCTTTTCCTGGTGCCAGGATGGACTGCTCTTGCAGAGCTGCCTCCAACGGGACTCCACTTACCAGGTCCTTGAATAAGCCAAAGTCTGATCTCATTAAGTCCAGCACCTGTGTTCTGCTACGTGTCTTCCTCATTTGCCTCAGAACCTTCAACTCCACTATTTCATAGTCACTACAGCCGAGGCTGCCATTGATTATCACATCCCCAGTCAGTTCTTGCTTGTTTGTGAACTGCAGATCCAGCTGTGCATCATTCCTGGTTGGTCCATCCAGTGCCTGTATCAAGCAGTTATTAGCCTGACACACTCCAGAAATGTTCTGGATTGCTTGGGCTCAACTCTGTTGCCCTTCCAGCGGATGGCAGAGATACTGAAGCTCCTCGATTTGTTTAAAGAAAAGTTCGTGCCCGCTTTCTCACTCTGATCAGGTCGTCCGTAACACTATACTGGCCTCTCCTCTGATTCTGACCCACAAGCTCTCCATCAGCTTGTCAGCTGTCCCACAGAAGAGCTTCCTAAGTCCATTTGCTGCTTCTCAAAGAAGGCAAACCCCCTCCTTGTCTTCTCTGCCTGTCTCCTCTGAAGAGCTTGTATCAACTGGTCCATCACCATACTGCAGCTGTGTGAGCTGTCCCACCACACCTCAGTTATTCTAGCAATTTGGTAGTCCTGTGAATGCACGAGGCACTCCAGTTCCTCCAGCTTACTTCTCAGGCTGCATGCATTTTTGTACATAAACTTAAAGAAAGTCTCCTTTTGCCATGTTTAATCATTCCTGAGGTCTCTCTTCTTTCTGTCACCCTACACCATTTGCTTTCCACTCCTGTCCATCATTTCTTCACTGAACTATGGGTCATAATCTCCCTCCCCTGTTATTCTTTCTCATCGCGTTGGTCAGCCTGTTGGCAAGGACGCTCTTGTCCTTGCCACTTAGTCAGGTGAATCCTGTCTTTCCTCACCAGTCTTCATGGTTGAAAAAGTCAAATCCCTGTCTATGGTATCAGCTGCATCAAATACTGACCTGCGGGATATGTCTAATACTTCCCAAGTGTTTTCCCTTCATGGGCAGGATCGAGGAGACCCCTCCATGTGTCATACCTGCCCTTCTGTGCCCCCAGAGCCATGTAACCATTCTTAATATGCTCAAGGTCTCTTCTCACCTAAAGATACAATATCAAACAGAATGCATCTCCAGAGCGTCTATACAACTCTCCATACAGCAAACTGAACTACTAACACAAGCAAAAAATTCCCATAAGTGTCAGAAAATTATTTCTTCCAGAAACTTCACTCCCCCCACCCCCGTATTCAGCAGTCCTGAAGTAACAGCTCAGGAACCTAATAGCTCCTGTCTTGGTCTGTAAACAGTTTTGGCCTGCATAGTTGATTAGTTTAAAATACAGATTTACTAACTTCTGTGTTTATATGCTTTCACATCTGATAGCATATTTGCAGTGAAAAGCGAAATACAACTTTAATGCAAGTATACTACTTAGAAAAATACTTGGACAATACAACTCTCATCATATAGGCAATCAACTCTAAAAATATATTAATATTTAGCCTAGCTTATTTTTAAAGATTTAAAAGTTTCATAAATGGTGTACATTAAAAGCCAAGCTAAACAATTCTATTTCAAAAAGGAAAGCCCCAGAACAGAACGTATACCAAAAGTCTTGTTAAGCAGATGATAACA